AGGTTGAGACTCCGAAAATAACCCATTCCTGCCTCTGTTGCTAGCCTTTCACTGTGCAGTGGAGAATTCTCAGTTGTGATTTTTCAGAATCTGGGTTTGGATTCTTGGAACAGTTGAATTGCTACTGCTCAGCACTCTATTTTCCAGCACTGGAGATTTGAAGGCTTCTGATCCTCAACAAGTTCTTGCTGTCCTCATGGCTTCCAGTCAAAGGAGTCAATCCTGTGAGGGTCCAAGCTCCTCGAAGGACGCACACTTCTCTCACATCCTGCAAAATGTGCTCCTAAATGCCAAGTTATGTAAGTTGGTGTCATTTCTGCTCCACAAGTATCAAAAGAAGGAGCAGGTCACCATGAAAGAAATGCTGCATGTTCTGCCCCATGATTACTGTAACAACTTCCCTCTGAACTTTTGGGAACTCTGTGAGTCCGTGTATCTGGGCTTTGGCATTAATATCAGGAAAGTGAATTACTCTGGCAATACATATGAGCTAGTCCCCATTTTGGGTCTTCATACAGTGGGATACTAGATGGCGATAATGAAAGACTCATTCTCAAAATCAACATCATTATATTCATCCTGCCTCTATTCTTCATAGAGGGCAACTGTATCAGTGAGGAGGACCTAACTGAAAAAGTGAAAAGATGGGACATGTTAGCTCAGTCTGAGCATATTCATTTTGAGAAAGCCTGGAAATTCATCACTGAGGATTTAGTACGGGAAGAGTACCTGATGTACCGGCAGATTCCTAACAGTGATCCTGCTCGCTATGAGTTCCTGTGGGGTCCAAGGGCCCATGCTGAAACCAGCATGATGAAACTCCTAGTTCATATGGCCCATCGTAATGGACCAGTTCCCAAGTCTTACCCAGAACTAGATGAAGAGGCTTTGGAAGCAGAACTAGGTATAGAGCCAGGGTTCCTGAGAAACAGGGGATATTGCACAAGGGTGTCAGTGAATTTGTTCTCCCCCGAGAAGAAATGAGGCCCATTTTCAGTCTCTGTGGAGAGCAGGTAGTTTTCTAAGTAGTGAAGGACCCAGGGGAGGGGTAAAAGAGCATGCATAGCATCTTGCTGACTCTTCTACTTGGGTTACTTGGAAATGGACAGGGGTTTTCTTTGTGGTTTTTTGAAGTATTGGTCCTTTTTGGGGGACACTTAAGTAGCTTGCATATTTATTGAATGGTATTGATCTCCTGTGTATTTTTAGTTTTGTGATGTTGATGTTTGCGTTTTCTGATGGAAATGTGATTTTGTGTGATACTGATCACAAATGGAGTGCCTTTTCCATTCAAATGTAACTGTCTTTCCTGTTTTATCATACAAACAGAAAAACTGTTCAATTTACTTATGATAAAATGGGAGTGGAATAGGAATTTCCTTGAAAATTTTAAATTTACATCACATTAGAGGGACCCTAGAAAAAGTGATAAGAATGAAAATCAAATATGTGCTGCTGCTTATTTCTTTTCCCCTGTTGATCTATATTATTAAACATATTTATTGCATACCTGAAAAAAATTAAATAAAAAAAAATATATAAAAAAACCCCACAGGTGACAAATGAGAGCTTAACACAGTATCAAAGACAGTACCCACCCCTCTTCACTCAATTCTTAAAACCTATCAAAAGCTATGGGTCTTGTGGGAAGGACACTACTTCTACTTCTGTCCTACACTCCAAACTACAAAAAGTAACCAAAGGGGTTACAATGGCATCCTCTTATCCACAGGGAATATGTTCCAGGCCTCTCCTAAATGTCTGAAACTGTAGACAGCACCAAGTCCCAAATACATTTTTTCCTATATACACATGCCTATGGTAAAATAAGTCACAATAAGCAATTAACAAGAGAAACTATAACAAAATAAGTACAAAACTTTTACAGTTTGAGGTGTGATAACAAAACTAATGCAAATTATTTTTCCTTTTTTACAATTTCACGAATAGAAGATTTTTTATTACTGTAGATCTTAGAAACCTCACATACAACTTTTTAATTCTTTTCTTATTAAGTTGAGAATCTATAGGAAGGACTTTAGAGTTTTTCTTTTGGGATATCTGAAATGCCAGTATCACTGTTCTTATACTTTAGAGCCATTATAAATAAAATATGGGTTACTTGAAGAAAGCGCTCGGACATCATCCTGGCCAATAAGATAACTAAGACAGCTATTAAGTGACTAATAGGCAGGGAGCATACACAGTGTGGAAATGCTGGACAAAGCAAGGATTTGTATCCCAGGCAGGACAGAGTAGGACGGCACAAGACTTCGTCATGCTACTCAGAAAGTCATGCAATTTAAAAGTGATGGGTTGTTTATTTCTGGAATTTTCCATTTAATATATCTGGATCACAGCTGACAGGATTTCAGAAAGTGAAACCACAGCTAAGGGGAGACTACTGCAATAGCTTTACAAATATGTAAACCCTTACAAAGTCACACCCCAAGTTCATTACTTAGCATTTTAACCCTTCTTTAAAACCACATTTTGAAAACTTTCACTTAACAATATCAGAGCTTTTGGCTGTTTACTTTGGTAGTATAAATACAGTTATACAAAGCAAATTTGCAATAACCAGGAAATATCTAAAATCTTTAAGTGCATTTTCCAACTTTTCCTGAGAATTACTTATTAACCTGTAAGACTGCCAATTAAACAATTGTTACTATATGTTGCCTTTACACAAGGCATTAAAATAATAACAAGTCTTGCTCCTTACCCTGAGCAGCTTGCAATTTAGCAAAAGATTTTACAACTGTGCATCACAAACTAAACCAATGTGGGTAAATTATGAGGTTAATGTAAATTAAGGTTAATACAAATTCAGATCCTGGGAAGGCTAGATTAATTGTTAGGGGAAATGGCTGGTAGAGATGGTATCTGAATAAGGCGTTGGGACATACCTAGGTCAACAGGAAGAGGGTTTAGACAGGGGTGTTGAGCGTGGAAGAAACAGCTATACAAAGGCATAGAGGCAGACTAGAGGTGAGCTAAGAAAACTGTAAATAAGCCTGGCTAGAGGGCAGCCTATATGAAGGAAAGTACTAAGAAAAAACTCATGGTAAAGGCATGATATAGCCAGTTCTTAACATAAAGGAGAAGATGTTGAAAGTTAGACCTTACAAATAACAAAAATATACCCTTCCTTACTAAGTTTTCCCACTGTATCCTAGATTTCTAGAGTAAAAATACTTTATTTGCAAACTAGGTACAAGAACTCCAAAGAAAAATAACTTGACTGATGGGGGCAATAATGTTTTTCTGAGCTGGCAATTTCTTGCTTATGGTTTAACTAATATACAGTGGCACCTCGGTTCACAAACACTTTTGTTTGGAAACAATCTGACTTGCAAACAAAAGCATTTGGCGAAATTTTGTTTTTGTTTGCAAACTGCATTGGGTACAAACACAAATGTGGACATCTTTTTCAAAATCATAGAACAAATTAAGTTCATGAACTGAGGTGCCACTGTACTCATTTTCCCCATATCTTGAGACTGTTTCATTAACTCTTTCTTATTTGTTTATTGGCAATACTGGGGATTTCCCCAGGACCCCACACATGACAAACAGGCACTCTATCACTGAGCTACATTCCCAACCCTTTTTAAAAAATTTATTGTGAAACACAATCTTGCTAGGTTGCCCAGGTCAGCCTCAAACTTGCAATCCTCCTGACTCAGCCTCCCAAGTGCTGAGTGGCTACTCAAGAACCAGTATTTGCTCAATTGTTTACCTATTCTTTTCTTTTCTGACCCTATTTGTCCCTGCTAACCACTCACTCACCTACTCACTCTTCTGCAGTGAAATACACCTGTAATAATAACACTAATAGCTACTATTTGCTGAGTCCTTGATATAGTGCAGGCACCACAGTTAATTCTTTATTAACAGTATTTAATATAATCCTCAAAACAACATTATGAAATAGCTGTTATTACTCCTATTTTATAACTGAGGATACAAATTCAGAGATATTAAACACTGTGCTAGCTGGTGAGTGGCAGAATCTGGGTTCAAAGCAGAGTGCTTGACTCGAGAGCCCTCGACTCCTCCAGTTCACTGCGCTACCTCTAGCAACTTACCTACAGCCTCTTACTAATTCAGGTCAGTATTTTCAATTCAAAAACAGGATGTTCACTGTGCACCTGCTACTGTAAAATCCTGTTCTAGGTGCTGTCAGAGATGTATAAATAAGTGAGAGAAGTCCTGTGGATTATTGATATTAATAATCTCCCACACTTGAGCATAGGCAGCTGTATCGTATCAGTTTGAGATGCCTGCGATTCATAACTTAGAGCAAATACGGTTAGAGCAAGTGAAAATGGCTCAGCATATGAATGTTGGATGGCGAACACATCTACTCACAGACAGAAATCAGCCAACCTTGACTACATGACTTACAGAGAACTTTAATAATATATTTCAGAGTCTGTAAAAACTCTCTCTGCTGATGAAAAATCTGTCCTGTCAGAAGTTCCCAACCAAATCTGCTTATAACCCACTTTCAATGAACCTCAGACTCCTTTGAAGTAGAAAAAGCTACTAAAGCATTTAGCCAACAATGAGCACATTGTGAAGCTAGTCCTTATGAAATTCGTTACTGATGAGTATAACTTCTTGATTAGAACACAAGTGTGAAATCAAACTACAACTACCATGTAGCTGGATATTGTACACCCACTTGAAGCCCAGGGTTCACATGGAGGGAGTCACAATTTTGAGCCCAGTTTACCTAAGTTTCTCTTAAGTATTTTGAGGCACAGTATTCATACCACAAATTACACAAATAAGACCCACAAAAAGATTGCAGTAGCAAATGCTTATCTGCTTGTACTCTGATATCAAAACTACAACTACAACAAATATTTAAGGAAACAAAAGTTAATAAATGGAAATAATTGTAAGAGTTCATGTGTGGCAAAAGACAGCAAAATACATTGGTTAGCAAGTAGAAGCACCAGGCTATATAATATGAAGATGCTGACACTTACTGCTCAATTCGGGGTGACAAATACAGCTTGGGGTACACCTGGGTGGCTTCAGTGTCCTCAAAACTGACCGAAAGGAGGGCCACATCTTCTCCAGGATCTTCATTTACATCCTTAGACGGGAAGTGAAAAACATAATGTCATGAGCACCTGCTTAATCAGTGATGAGCTCACAGTCCACTGGCATGGTAGCCATGGGTGTGAGTTCCCCCTTATTCCAACCGAGGACCTTGGTACATCCTTGGCCATGTGCCTTGCCATTCCTCTGGAGGGTGGCCCTCAAAGCCTCTGACCAGCCTACCACAAGACCCCCCCACCATCTCATTTGTTCCTACATCTCAGGCAGGAGAAAGGGGTAAAACTGTTAGTAACAAGGAATTAAATAAAAATACTTTTAACAAACTGCAATAAATATATTTCTATAATCACAATTTATATCATAAAACACTGAAAAATGCTAAAATACCCTGTAATTTTATCAAGCCCACCTGTACAGTATTTTATAAGCTATTTAAATAGCAAAATTTCCAGGAAACATGGCACCATGAACTATGTCACCATATATGCACCTGGCAGGAGGTTAGGTACACATCGACTTATTGAAGTGATTATAGATAGTTTACATGGGAACAAGAAGCCACATATCTTTAATGTCCAGTTAACACTATAAGGCAAAACGATTATTGATAGAAGTATGACTATTGTCAATTAATGTACTGATGTTTATGTTGAGGTTGGCTATAATAATGATAGAGCCCAGTTTACTATAATTTATAATTAAAAAACAAGAATAGCAGCAACTGGCTATCATAACCAACTCAGGTTAGCACTGATGAGACACAGATAAAGTGCCCTGAATCAAAACTATGGAATTTTATGCTCATTTACTTTATGATTTTTACCAACCACCAAGCATCTACCAGAGTTCTGAATGAAATACTAAATAAAAATAACTGATAATAGGATGTTGATTTTAATTTGTACATAACAAATTTCAGTAATCCTTAATAACTTGGTAGTGGCTCCAAGTCAAATATAAAAACTGCTCCATATTTTTATATCAGTTTATAGGTACCCAGTGGGTTCAGCAGCTATACTAGGGGTCCCAACCTTCAATCTAGGATTCACTGCTGACAGACATGGAGGACCTCAGACACAATGTCCTTCTCTGTCTAAAACCCCAACCCCTCTCTGCTTGCAACCGGGGAGGCTGATCGGCTCTGACATCTTCAGCCTCCATGCTACCTCCTATTGTGCCTATGATGTACAAGTATAACATGTATATACAAGGACAGGATCATAGTCTTACATCTCCCAAACTAAAAAATTTTTTAAAAGAAAGAAAAGAATTTCACTGGGTTCTACATACTCCTCTGGGATTCTCTCTCATCTCTCTCCTTGGATGAGCTGTCTTCACTCCTTGACTCTACTCCCCTCCCACTTATCCATAGCCCACTACAATAGTCTACAGACTCTTCCAGTTCAAGACTGCTCCCCGCAAGGCCACCCACTAAACCCAGCAAATGCTTCCCTGCCCTTGTCTTACTGGATAGCTAGACAGTATCTGACATGGATGATCACTGATCTCTGGAGACCTTTTGTTTGTTGGTTAGTTGGTTTCTAAAAAACTACATTCTCCTGACTCTTTGGCTGCTTCTCCTTCTACCATCTTTCTTTATTTTTAACTTAATTTTTTTAAGTTTTACATTACAAAAATTAGGCTTATTTGAACAAGTCAAACCATACAGAAGTTTATAAAGAAGCAGTTCTTCTATCCCCACTTACTCCCCTCCCCACCTCCCCTCCAAGATAACCAATACTAACTGCATGTGGCCTTAAACAGCTTTCTTCTCTATGATCATAAAAACACATACTTGCATATAAACAGCTCTTTAACCTTCTGTTTTGTTTTCTCTAATGGGATCATATTATACATATCACTCTACCAATTGCTTTTTAAATAGCCACATAACATTCCATGGCATGGATTTATCTTTTATTTAACCATTTCCCCAGCAACAGACTTTCAGCTTGTTCCTAATTCTTAGCCACTTGATAGTATGATGATAAATATTCCTTTAGTGGCCGGACTTATATTTCTTAATGGACAACTAAAATTGAGCTTGCTGGGTTACAAATATTTTATATTTATAACAGAATTTAATTTATTATTTCTGAAAATTTTGCAGCAATTCATATCTGGACTCATAAATTTCACATCAATATGCGAGAGCCTCTTTCCCCTCATCCAGAATAACTGGATAATGCTGGCTATCGTTACTCTTTAATTTGCTGTCAGAAATCTGAGAGCTGGAAAATAGTATCCAAATTTAGATTCAATGAGGGAGGCTGAGCAACTTTTCACTTGTTTCTTACATGTTTACATTTCTTCTGCAAATGTCCTCATTAAATTCATTGCATGTTTTTCTTTAAAGTACTTGTTCTTTGTAGTTATTTAGTAGGTTTATTAATTCTTTCCTACCCCATGTGTTAAAATATTTTCTTGCAGTCTAGTTTTTTTACTTTTTACTTTGGGTGCTCCTTTCCCTTCACAGAAAATTAAGTTTTTTACAGAGTTAAATAAATTTGGTCAATAATTCTGAGGTTATATAACTTTCTCCAAATTTTAATTTAAGTGTTATAATTTTATAGCTCTGGAATATATTTTTAGGTGGCAGAGGAAACATGGCATTGTTTTGGGGGAGAAGGTGAATGAGTGAATGGGTAGGAGAAGGAATGTTTTCTGAATGAATAAATGAGTGAGCAAATGGATGTTTATTCCCAACCTTTATTCTCCACTACCAGAGGATCTACTTTACAAAAGTTGCTGTCAAGTCTGGGAAGTAAGTGCTGACTCCTTGCTCCTCCACTGATAATCTACCAAGTTCTCCAGAACTAGTGATTTTAACAGGAAAGCCCAGAGTGGGAGTCGAAGCTTGGCTCTCACTTCTTGCTCTTTTACAGATGCTAACATATTCTACCTTGAATTTTCCTTTCTGTAAAATGAGGATGGAAATTTTAAAAAATACTTGGGATTCTCAACAAACAGAAACTACCTAATTATATAATATATGATTCATCATCTATCTAAAACTAAGGTTGAAGCTAAAGCTTGAAAAAAATCACATTCATAGGAACAAATTCATCTTGTGATCTAAGTGCAGAAGTTGTCTTATTTATAGATTGGTTACCATCAGAAAATAAGAAGAACTAACACTGACTTTCTGATACCACAGACCCATACTGAGTGTCTGTGAAAGGTCAAGGCTGGAGGCTATGATTATAAATCACAAAATCTTTCAAAAACCAAAACAAAACACCAAGGGCCACTGAAGTCCTTTTTTAACCAACTTTGTTCTGTATGCCTATGGATAAATTATAATTATTTATTTCCTTTTCCTACTTTTAAACTTTCCACTTCATTATTATTTTAGTAAAAACCAGAAATGCTTGAAGATAATCCTCAAAGGAGAAGAAATGGCCCTGGTTATAATCAACATTTATCATCTGATATCCTACAAAAAGCACATGAAACACTGGTCTGAATATAAAACTAGTTATTTTCAGGAGTTCATTTCATAAACTACCATAATGTTTTATTCCCCTTGGAGTAGCACATGAATTTTCCTTGAATTGGCATTTGATTCCTAATGGATATTAAGTTTGATTCTGAGTGCTCAAATAAGCCCAAAGAGTTCCAAAAATATAAACCCACACAGCGCTGTTTCCAGTTTCGGCAACTCTAACAGGCTTGTACATGTGTTCCCTCCCATCTGGGAAATTAGAAAAGAAGCTTTTGTACCATGGTTCTTAGAAGCTAACATTACAGATGATTATTGTAACCACTAATGGCAGCATTTGGAAAACAACGGATGGTTATAACATAGACAGGGACATTTAAAAATGTACAAGTATACATTTTCAGGGCTAGTTATCTGCACCATCCAAAACTGCCACAGGCTAAATGAGGGAAAAGATGCTCCCAGGCTAAAGTTAAATATTGTCCTCTACCTTTATACAAGTGTGTGAGGCAGTCACATACATATGGCCAGGCAGTAACAGCAATATTACTCTGCTGAGATTTCATAGTGGTTTAGGCTCAGCACTTAACTCTAACAGAAAGGGGTTTCCGTGGCCTATAGTGAGTATCCCCTATAAGGAATTCACTCCTTAGAGTCTGAAAGCTTCTCCTGTTCATTTTTGCCTCCAATCACGTACCGAACATAGTATACACACAGCAAACCAGTTGTAAAAATTAAACAATTAATGCAGGAGTGATGGAAAGAATGGGTAAGTAAATGAAATTCACCATTGAACCTGCTTTTCCAATGTGAGAAATATTTGGGTTTCAAGAGCCACAGTATAAGACTGATAGAATTAAATAGAAAATTCTTTCAATTTGTAAGATTCTCAATGTTTATTTCTTTAGTTCCTTAAGTCAATGACTAAAGATTTTATTAAAGAAAACTCAAATCTCAACCATGGTACCAGCATAGATACACAAACTAACAAGAATCAACATTTCTGTTTAGATCATAATGATTCATTTATATTACTATTCTCAATTGAGGCTCTTTGCAAATATCAAAATGGTGTGGGGGAAAAAAATACTACAATTAGCCTTGGATATGAAAGTAAATACAAGTACAATTTATCACTGTGTTATACTCCTTTGATCTGCTAATTAGTACAAGTACAGATAGCAGCCATTAAACAGGTCCCTGTATGTTGAGAACATTAGTGTCAATACTGGTACAAGCTACCAATTAACTAATTGCTGATAGACATTAACCGAACCAAAAATGTTACAAAGCACAGGTCATATAGGAAGTCTATAAAAAAGCAATTGTATTTCTCAATTCAAATGGCCTTACAACAAATCTACAACCATTACTAGCCGAACCAGTCTGGAGGCACCAATGATTACAAAGAAGCTAATCTATAGTGTGTCAAAAATCTAGTTAGCACCATTTAATTAACGTTTAAAAGGATATTAAACTAGACCTGCGATGAACCAGTGTTCCTATGGTGGCCAAAAACTAGATCTAGGCAAACACCTCATTATACAAAAGCTATCGATTTTTGACAATTTGTACAAGACCTGAAAATAGTC